GGGCTCCGGATCCCCAGTTAAGCCCAGGGAGGGCTCCGGATCCCCAGTTAAGCCCAGGGAGGGCTCCGGATCCCCAGTTAAGCCCAGGGAGGGCTCCGGATCCCCAGTTAAGCCCAGGGAGGGCTTCGGATCCCCAGTTAAGTCCAGGGAGGGCTCCAGATCGTCAGTTAAGAACAGGGAGGGCTCCAGATTCTCAGTTAAGCCCAGGGAGGGCTCCAGTCCCCTGTCATGGTCCACGGAGGGCCTCGGAGCCCGTAAGCATCCCCAAGTATTATACCCTAACCCTAACCCGAACCGCCATGGCCTCCTGAGTTCCCTGCTCAACCCTGCTCCTGGAGGCCTCCAGAGCACCCCCCCCCCCCCCCCCCCGTACGGCGCGGGACGCGCCTTCCGGGAGGGGTGAGTTATGTCAGGCCTGTGTTTCTGTCTCTTGTGTTTTGTTCCCCAAGTTCTAGTTCTCTCTCGTGTTTCCTTATGCCCATATTTGGTTTGGTTTCCTGTTCTCGTCGTTTCATTATTAGTTGATTCCTCGCACCTGTCTGTCCCTCGTTAAGTTTAGTATAAATGTGTAGTCTGCCTCATGTTTCATTGTCAAGTCTAAACGTCATTCCACGTGTGTCTCCTGCGCTCCCTATGTTAGTGTTCCTTTTCTTTTGGTTTGTTTATTAAAAGTCAAGTTTTAAAAGTCGTCTCCTCGTTTCCCTCCTACGCAAATAATTAATTTTGTGTAAATCATTAATTAAATTAATTTGTAAGTACATTGTCCCACTGAACTGAACGTAAGGTTTTGCATACAGTTAGGTAGTTTTGGTGAGTAAGTCTAAAAAAATTTGATTCTTAGAGAGCGGTGACTCCCATTCAATCTACTTGTCCTTAGTTACTAAACAATCCAGAGCAAACAAAGAGTGTGCATCAGGTAAAACATCTCAAGAGTTTCCCAGAAGCAAACAGATACATCATTATATCTTGAGTGTCTCATACCTGACTATCAGCAGAGTGAATCATTAGTGTCGCGACATGAAAAGGGTTGGTGTGTGTGTGTGTGTGTTTTCATGCCCCCAGGGGCCAGTTTCTTCAAGCATATCGAGATTTTCATGAGCCAGAACTGATTTCACCACAAGACGTGCCCAGCTACTCAAGTTTTTCCTGTTGATGTAATCACAAACTATCATGGGAGCCTCACTGTGTCTTTGAAAGGGGTCGGCTGGGTAATAGCACACATTACTGTACCAATAATAATTTCACTTATAACAATTGTATGGATATTTAAATATAATTACCCGGTGTTCACTAAGGCAAACATCACTATTTCTGTCTATTTCTATCGTTTAACCTGACTAAGTCTATTGTTGTTTTACTATTTAGTAACAGTAATTCCAGTCAGCTTATATGCTTACATCATTTACAACTTGTGACCCTAAAATAGACCATTTAACCTTTTTACACTTCACACCTCCTCAACTC